GTGTTTTGGTCATGTTTTGGTGGTGTCTTGGTGATGCTTTGCTTGTGTTTTGGTGGTGCCTCGGTGATGCTTTGCTGGTGTTTTGGTTATGTTTTGGTGGTGCCTCGGTGATGCTTTGCTGGTGTTTTGGTCATGCTTTGGTGGTGTCTCGGTGACGCTTTACTGGTGCTTGGTCTGGTGTCTTGGGAATCTGTTGTTGTACCGTATTTATGGAGTTGGTTGTTCAGATGTATAGATTATGCGCAGGCATTTGAATATACAATTTGGCCATCGGCAAAGATTTTTAAGTGTTTCGTGTTAAAAGGATTGTATGCATTTTGTTTGGATATTGAATTTGTTTTGTAACTTTGTATATCAACTATGCGACTGCATTAAACAAAAATGGTTTCGGTGGAAAACAGTTTTTGATATTCGATATGTGAAAAAACAATGCAACGAACATTGCGCGTAGAAAACCGCCAGATCTTGGTGGATGCTTTGCTGTTGGGGTTGTCAGCTGGGTGGTTTTTCATTTAACGTAACTAACAAAGTACTCATCGGCCGCTTTTATAGTTAGTTAGGCCCTGCTTGGTTGACGGAGTCTTCAAACCTGGCTCGAAGTGATGCGAACCAAGGAAAGCAGAGGTGAACATTACTATAGATCCTCTTGTGGACAGTTTCTCCGTCACAGATGGCATTTTAAATTCAAGTTTGGTCGAAGCATTGGCTGACTGGTTCGCTGAAGCGACAATTTGGCATGCGCCACACTTGCAAGGGCAACTCCTACAAGCCTCCCTGCTAGATGGATTGAATTGCGAGGCGTTGATGAGTGTGGCCAGTGGTTTCAAGTCTCAACTACGTACATTGGTTCTAGAGAACATGTGGGCGTGGAAATTGAACGCGATGGATACACACCCTCCAGTACGTGTTTACAGCAACAGCCAGTTTGGCGCTCCTGATTTGTTATTGTTGTTTTGGGTTTCCGATGGTGAAGAAAGTGAGGGCCTGGAGCTCACTCGGAGTAAAAGAAGACACTTCATTCAGAGACGAAAGAACCGCGTTGTTCTCTGGGGTCCAGAATGGATTGGAGCGCTTCACTTCGGAAGAGCACAGAGTGAATACAGGGCTAAACAAGTTGACTTGATCATGAGCTTCCGCAAAAGCTTTGGTCACAAGCTGTACCCTGGTTGGGGTGTGCACGCTTTGCAGTGGTCCGGTGAATCAGCATGAAGGATTCCCGTATGAGGCAAACTGTCTGATGAAGCGGGGCCGTTCAAGCTTGGCAGCAAGACCCCATGCCGTACCATAATTCCGTTTGTTAGAATATCAACCTCGATGGTCTAGGCCCAGGCCAGCGTTGGGGGCAAGGAGTTGAAGCTGAAGAACTTCATGAAAGACATATTCCAAACAACTACAGTGTAACCAGAAGGAGTTGTGGATTCAGAAGGAGGGATTTGACCTACGTCAGAAGGCTGCGAGAATTAGCCACACTCACAATCGTGATGCCAATGTGAATACCTTCACCGCGACAGCCTTCTTGAGGGAATGAAATCAGTTCGGGTACTTGTAGCTAGCTAGTAGTGAGCGAGAGAGATGCTGGATTGCCGACAAATCCGCCATGCTCGGCGCGGAAAAACTTTTGCTTTGCCGCAAAGCGCAGGTGAAGAACGTAACGTACATGCTGATGAAGGGCACTCTGGATGAATAGCAGTCGCATATAGTAATGCAGCAGTTGGTCTTTGTAAGAGTACGGTACGGTACACTCTTGTGCGACAAGGAGGCCAGCAAGCAAGGTTATATAATATATATATAATATAAGGCACATTGTTCCCCAATAACCAGGCCATACCAGGCCACAAAGCAAGGCTGGAACAAAACTACCCTCGATTGCCAGCAGCGCACGGTCTGAGTGACATCACGCATTCTGCCACTTGCTGTGTCATGAAAGCACAGCAAAGAGACGTGTCAATCCCGCTAGGCTGGGCTCAAATCAAAGACGATGGTGCCAGAAACGCTGAATCACCACTTGACGTAGCTTGTAAAATCTCAACATGGCGAGGGGCGTGCTCGCCTTTTGTTTCTTTCTTTGGTCTCTTCCCTCCATGTGGGCTGCGCGCAAGCTGACGCAAGACTCCAGTAAGTTATCATATCCCTTCTCTATCATTCTTAGAGTTTGTTGTAGGAACTTTGCTTCATGTTTTTGTACGCCTGCCCTTGGCCAGGTCAGTTGAGCTCGGCGAGCAATGACGAGCTGCCCCAAGACACCATAGGTACCGATGCAAAGACTGACCAGGAGTCTTGTCACATCTGGCGTTTGTTTTTGAATGTTTTTGAATGGTAGGGGGACAGCGGAGCAAGTGGTGCAACCTGAAGAAGTAGGGTAGATCTTTGAGTGACAAAGCCAAAAGCTTTCAAGTGCAAAGGGCTGGTGCGCGGCTGACACAATCTGACCTTCATTTGTGAATGTGAAAGATTGTACGATGGTGTGGCTTGTAACCTGGAGATACAAGGCTGCCGATCGAAAAGCTTGGGAGGTTCTCGCCTTGTTCCCTAAAGCGCTTTGACTTTCCCACGCCTGTGCAGTGTGTGTGTATGCACCTGGGACCTTTGAAGCAAAGGCCAGCTGTTTGTTGCAGCTTTTTGGTAGGTTTTGTAGAGTTTTCGCGGGTGAGTGGTACACAGTCTTGGACCAAGATTTGAACCACCATTCAACAAAGACACTCCTTGTGCTGCGGCGATATGCTGACAGGACCCCTTCTGAATTCTGGACCTGCTTGGGTTGTGAGTGTTTCACATATCGTCCACTCGCAGAGTTAGAGGTGCCCACATGAGGTTGGCAGTCGCAAATTATTTGTTTGGAACATCGAGCCCATGACAGGCATGTTTGGACACCACTGCAATAGACTCACACCTGTTTTTTTTCGGCCGCTTTGGACACCTAGACCTAGGTGTCTTGAGGGCGACCGGAACAAAGCGCACCACTCCCTCTATCACCCCCTCCCTGTTTCGACCTTCAGAATGTCGAGGGCTGACTGACCGCCCACCAAAGCCGTCGGAGGAGGCAACTGATAACATTCTGGGGCCTTTGCCTTCCCCGGACATTGACAAATTGCTGATTGCTGAGCCTCTTCCATGGGCAAAGAAAGATGAGACGGTGGAGGAAAAGGACCGTTTTCCATTCACACGGGAGGAGGAGGTTGGAACGCCGGATTATATAGGGTCGTTCTGGAACGCTTGTTTTTGAATGCCTTTCAGTCTCTTGTTTGTGTCATGTGTGTTTTGTTATCTCTTTCTCTCTCTCTCTCTCTCTCTCTCTCTCTCTCCCTCTCTCTCTCTCTCTCTTGGTAGTTTGTGTTGTGGTTTTCAGGTTTGTTTTCGTTTGTTCTTGTGATGTGTGTGTGTCACACTCTGTTCCTAAGAGTTTTCCACAAGCAGGGGACCAGGCAGGACGCATCGTCGCCTGGTCAACGAAGCTGGTGATGCATCCGGGGATATGGAAATGGGACGCCATTTCCACGTACCTGCCAAAAACTGTTGTTTACGCTGTGACTCCACTTTTCCTTTTTTGTTTCCGATTGCATGGTGGTTCTTCGCATGATATCCCCCAAAACAGGTTTCTTTAGCGTTGGTAAAGTGCTAGTGAGTTTGTTAAACAGTTCTGTTCTTCGGACCCTTTCGCCTTACCGTTCTTGCAGTAAAGTGCTAATGCAGTAACTAGCTTCTGCAGTCACGCAAAACTTTTGTTAAACATCTTCAAGTTTTAGGACTCACTCGCCTTTCCGTTCCTTCACCCTTTTCGACCTGGGAATAGAGTTAACTGCAAACCCATTGTCAAAGTGTGTGTGTGTGTGTTTGTGTGTGTTACTCATGTGTTTCTTTCTTGTTGTGGTTTTCATGTTGTTTTCGATTTTTTTGTCGCGTGTTATTTCTCTCTTTGTTCCCCACCTGCCAGGTGAGGGTTGTTAGATTTTATCACAGTTGTTCTTCCTCCGCCTCCGCCTCCGCCGCCTCCTCGTCCTCCTCCATCCTCCTTCCTCCTTGCTTCCTTCCTCGCCAATCTTCATCGCCAATCTGCTTCGCCGATCTTGTCTGGCCAGCTCCGGATCGCAGTGTGCACCCCTGGACCTCAACCGCAAGGATCCGATCGCA